AAATCTATATCTGTGTGCAGTATTTGATGCTCAAATCAGGATTAGTATATTCAACAATATACACTGTAATAGTTTTTCATGGCTTTTTACCAATTCCTCCCTTACCTCTTTCCCACTGCTGGTAACCTCAGTTTTGTTCTTTTTTTTGAAAGTTCAGCGTATTATTGTGATTGTTGTATATTTCTTTCTTAATATAGATCTTTTGGAATGTAGAGGTATTACTTTAAAAAGTTTTTAGAGCATATTATATTTTGTCACTAGGGGGCAGTTATACATCTGTGATTAAATTTAACTAGTTTATTAGCTCAGACTGTTTTTTTCCTTCTGTATTACCCATTTCCTGCCTATGTCTGTTTTGCGGGAACTTATTCAAATAAGTGTTTCTGATAAATCTATATATAGTTTTATATAAATCTGTATTTGTTCCTGTCATTGACTGCCTATTGGTGTATTTCTTTTAACAAATCTATTTTTTATGTATTTATTTATTTTATAGTCATTAAGTCATTAAGTCATTAATATTTCTCATATTTTATGTAAAGCTGGTTTTATTTTTCCCAATTATAAAAATTGACCTTATTCTTTTTTAATGTTAAATTTATTTTTTAAATCTTTAAAATTTAAATTTTTTTTTTATTGATTATACATATTCATGGAGCAAGAGCTGACTGTTAACACCTGTGCCCAAGTTGTGGCAAGTAAATCAGTGCTATCAGCATGCCCACCACCTCCTTCCATGGATGATTGCAAATATTCCCCATGTCCCTCGTATCTTTTCCAGCGTCTGGCAGCTATGGGGATTGGAATCTTGACCTTGACGTTACAAGGCCAAGCTCTAACCAGCTGTGCTAACCAGCTTCTATTGTCTGTTTCTACATAATTTCATTTTTTTCTTTTTTTTTTTTTAGTGGCTGGCAACAAGGATCAGACCTTGGTGTTATCAGTACTACACTCTAACCAACTGAACTAACTGGCCAGCCTTTTAATACATAATATTCCTATGCAGCTATCCTCTAGATTTTGGGGAAAGGGGTTAGGGGAGGGGGTGGGAAATCTGTCTTGCCAGCATCATAATAGATATACCAAATGATCTTAATATAAGATGTACATAAACGAAACTATTTCTTCCTGTTGGCAAGCACTCAAATTACATGAAAGGAAAGGAGTAATAGCCTGCAGGCATCTAACTTTCTTTGGGAGTTAATTTCTCAAGAATTTCTCAGGATTTGCTCAAACGCTCAAATGCTAATATGCAGAGTAACAATGTTAAGATTCTTACTCTAGCAAAAACAGAAGTATTGTGAAAAATCAAAATTGTTGTCAGGAATCCCATAATTTCAAGCTGGTAGGCTGTGTGAATTATAAATTTTACATTTGTTGCCTCAGGTAAAGTGGTGTCACTTTAGCTGGTAAACAGAAACCTGCCACCCCTTGTCAGTATCATGGGAACCGTTCTGTTTACAGACATCTGTCTTTCTGATTTTCTTGACTATGGTGTTAGTATTTTAAACTGCGGTTATAATTTAAAATTGTCTTTAAAGCCCATATCAGTTTTATCCTTGCCTTGAGTGCTAATGCTAAAAATGTATGTAAAAATGAATTATTCAGAACAGAAGTTAGATGTGACAATGCTATGAAGAAAGCCAAAAACCTGTGATGAAACGTATTACTGTTAATTTAGGAGAGAGAAGTCTGAATTGTTAGTGAGAATGCCAGCAAAATAAAAGCATCACTAGAGTTGTATGTACTTCTAAGTTCATGAAAACTGTTGTGTTAGCAAGCAAGCGTGATGGGTAAAATGCTTGCACTGGGCACTGCTACGAGTGTAGCTGTAACGTGTCCCTGAGTCAGATTATCATCTGTGAGGTGATTTTTTAATCTAGAAAGTTGCTAGGAATATGTTAAAAGGATTGTTTTACTTATGTTTTAAGGACAAAAGGAAACTGGATTTTATGATTTTTGTCCCACCGCATCTCCAGAGGAATTTGCTGTTTTAGTTTGGAGTTTGTCTGGATTGGGTATTGATGAGATAAAAATAGAAATTAAAATGAGTAGATACTTAATTGAATACTAGTGAACAAATGCACTAGGAACTATAATTTGTGTTGTGGAGTCATGAAATATTAGAGCCAGCAGGACCTTGGTGATCATCTGCCTCAGTGCCTTGGCAGGACACAGTAAACAGGGGTGTGGTTGGTCCATCTAGAGCCCAGACTCCTGACTCCAGGGTTGCACCACACTCATTCTCCTTTTACTGCAGTGGTTTTCAAACTTGATTTTTTTTTTTTTTTAAAGCAGAGGACGCTCCCTCTCTGCTTTAAGTGAAATATACCCATTTACCTTTTTGTGTGAAACCTTTCAAATGTATACAAAAAATAGAAAAATACACTACTTGTCCTAATAACAAATTGATGTGTATGTATGTGTACGGTATATATACTTATATGTATTCATTTAATATTTAAGTAAGGTGACTTAGATTACTCTGTGGCAGAGACTAGTTGTCTTCAGCATTGGAAAACTTAGCTGAAGTTGTGACTCATCTCTAACTAGTAGGGTGACCTTAGTCCATTTCTTTAATTTCTTGGGTTTAATTCATCTTATGTTTAAAAAGAAAGTTGAATTACTCTAAGATTTCTTATAACTTCCAAATAATTATATTGATAATTCTAACACTTATTTGGTGCTTACTATCTACTGGTCATGGTTGTAAGTACATATATTTACATATATCAAGTACACACATGTAATTCTTACAACTACTGTGTAAGGTTGGTACAGTTACTATTGAGGAAACTGAGGCATGGAGGGAAAGGTGTGACATAGTAAAAAGTGGAGCTGTGGTTGAAGCCAGGCGGTCTGGCTCCAGAGACCAGGCTTCTAACTCTGGTGGCTTCACTGTGTGGTCTCTTCCGTAATCCCATTACTGCTTTTTACTGGATTTAATAAAATGAAAATTTAAGGAAGACTCTTCTTTCTTAATTTTTTAACGATAGTAGAATATGAATAACAAATGTTTAAATTAGGAGAGAACAACCCTTGTTAAAATGACCCACTTAGAGGAAAATGAAGGTTACCATTTATTAACAGTCATTCCATTACATATTTTATATCGAGTTTATTGACCAGAAGAGAATCTAAGTCAAACTGGAGTTACTCCTAGGACCCTACAATCTTTAAAGTTCTGCAGTGGCTTTTGAAAATTTATCATTAAAAACCAAACCAAAATAACTGTTTTTAAAGTCTAATTTAACCAGAATGTGATTCTGCAGGATTCTGTGTTGTCAGTCCCTCCTCTGGAAAGCCAATTTGTTCTGGGTGCCATACTTTAAGAAAAGCCCAACGAGACCGAGGAAAGGGAGTTGGAACTGTGTTATGTAAGAAAAATTTGAAGGACATGGGGATGCTCAGCCTGGAGAGGGACGAACAGTCTCAAATCCATGACAGGCTATTGTTTCGAAGAAGGATTTGAATACATGGGATACAGTTGGACCAGTAGGTGGAAGTTACAGAGTGGCAAACTTTAGCTCACTGGAAACCAGCCAGATGCAAGATTGTGTAGGTTTCTTTGGAGATTTTTAAGCAAGAGCGGAGGGAAAGGGAGGTTGAACAGCACATTTTGTCCTGGTTTGGTTGGATGAGATGACTCCCTTTTCACAGTGTCTGGCACATAATAGACACTCAATAACTGTTAAATTAATAACTTCAAAGATGGAACAGGAGCAATATTCTTATTATTTAAACCATGTGACTCCGAAAATGACTTATTCAATTCTGTCCTGATTACAAGAGGAAGGTGAGAGAGAAGAATATTTAGCTTTATTTAGCTTTATTTAGGTGTAGGTTTCTTTGCTTTCTGATTCCTCTGTGCACCACAAAGCTTCATAAATTGTGTTGCACTCTCTAGGAAAAGGTAAATAACTTGCACAGCTATTAGATGAATTATTATAAATTTACAAATGCACACATTTTGTATGTATGCATATTTCAGCTTATTAACTTGTAAGCTCTTTGATATTAGGACTGGTATATTTTCATGTTTCCCTTCACAGCATGTAGCCCTGAATGTTTTTGAAATGTTTTCAAACTAATTTTCATTATTATTCAGAAGTAAAGTCCTTTCATTTATGTATTCTAATGGTGATCCTAAAGTTTAGAAATGCTTAATTTTAATGAAGTAGGTTGAATTGTGTTCAGTGTAGAAGGGGGTATGTTCAATGTTTGCTGCTTTTGTAGGTGCATGTGAGGGAACTTTGGCTTGCTCTACTTGTCATCTTATCTTTGAAGATCATGTATTTGAGAAGTTAGAAGCAATCACTGATGAGGAGAGTGACATGCTTGATCTGGCGTTTGGACTAACAGACAGGTAAGATTTTAGGACAGCTTAATTCGTACTAGGCTGGGAAGGTAGAAGTTTCTGGATGAGATGACTCCCTTTTCACAGTGCCTGGCACATAATAGACACTCAATTAATAACTTCAAAGATGGAACAGGAGCAATATTCTTATTATTTAAACCATGTGACTCTGAAAATGACTTATTCTGTCCTGATTACAAGAGAAGGGTGAGAGAGAAGAATATTTAGCTTTATTTAGCTTTATTTAGGTGTAGGTTTCTTTACTTTCTGATTCCTCTTGTGCACCACAAAGCTTCATAAATTGTGTTGAACTCTCTAGGAAAAGGTGAATAACTTGCTCAGCTATTAGATGAATTATTATAAATTTACAAATGCACACATTTTATATGTATGCATATTTCAGCTTATTAACTTGTAAGCTCTTTGATATTAGGACTGGTATATTTTCATGTTTCCCTTCACAGCATGTAGCCCTGAATGTTTTTGAAATGTTTTCAAACTAATTTTCATTATTATTCAGAAGTAAAGTCCTTTCATTTATGTATTCTAATGGTGATCCTAAAGTTTAGAAATGCTTAATTTTAATGAAGTAGGTTGAATTGTGTTCAGTGTAGAGGGGGGTATGTTCAATGTTTGCTGCTTTTGTAGGTGCATGTGAGGGAACTTTGGCTTGCTCTACTTGTCATCTTATCTTTGAAGATCATGTATTTGAGAAGTTAGAAGCAATCACTGATGAGGAGAATGACATGCTTGATCTGGCGTTTGGACTAACAGACAGGTAATATTTTAGGACACCTTAATTTGTACTAGGCTGGGAAGGTAGAAGTCTCATTTACTTAATGTCTACTTAAGACCACACTCAATGTAATAATGTTCTTCCAGCGTAGACAACAGTCACACGTTTTGAATAATATCATATAGTGGGATTTCTCTTTGTCTTCACTATTCTACAACTTAGCCCTTGTGAAACTTTCCTTTTTACAAAAGTAAAAAAAAGTGATTGGAAGTATTGGACGTGTAAGTTCTAGATCTTAAAAAAGTCTTCAGTCCATTTTTACTCCAAGAATTAATATTTGTCACAGTTGGACAGGATGGGATTAAAATTGGTGCTTTTTATGGTATTCTTGAAGGACATATTTGGTAATTGAACAAATTATACTGGAAAGGTTTTCCTATTTGAGAAATCAGAATTTTTAAAGAAACAATATATAATACTCATTATGTTAAAATGAATAGTTCTATTTGAGTGTACATTAAATTAATAAGAGCTTATTTGTGTTATTAATTAATAGGTAGAGTTATTCTTAGGAGTAGTAAGATTTACAGTAGCAAGTGACATCAAGTGATACCTTATATTTTTAATAATTTGGTCTTGGGTAGAGTTAAGAAAGATAGCTACTTGATTTACTGTTTCAAGGGATAAGATAAGGACTTACTAATTAATTAAGGTTGACTTTGTTTAACTATAATTTGGTGAGCCTGATTAGAAGTAATTTTTTAAAAAGTTATAAATAATAGAAATAATAGCTTTATTAATTTCATGTGTATTATGTGATTATAATTTTGTTAGACTTAACATAAACCATCTCATTAATCCTCACAAAAATTTTAAGGTCATTGGTATTTATTTAGAGATGAATCATTTCACTCCTTTTCTAGTTCATTTCACTCTGGTGGAGGTGAGACCAATACCCTGGGAAGAGAAATTGGGACAGTAGTATCTCGTTAGACACCAAAGCAAAGTAAACTGTGGCTGGTATCTACCTGTACCCCCTTCCCATGTGCAGTGCTACATTCTCTATCAACGCCTCCTTTTTTTTTCTGAAGGATAACACAGAATACATTTGATGACTATATTAATTTGGTTCTGAAAATTGCCTCTTAATGAGGTTAAATTATAGCGAACTGCTTGCTCTTTTATTCAGATAAAATTTGTAGGTACATGTAACAGATTATTTTCTTTTTCTTTTCACAGAATATTAAGGGAAAAGGGAGTGCTACAGTTAGAAGAGATACAGAATATAAAAAGATACGAAAGCCCTGTTATTCATGTAAACTAGCCAAGAACACTGGTAATGAAATTCCCCAGTTTTAGAACTAGGTGATGGAGAGCAAGGAAAAGCTTTTATAGTGTTTTATAGCTGGTATTCTTAAGTACACATAATTTTGGTTAGAGATACTTTGTGAGGAAAGAGTATGATGTGTTTCACAGGTAACGTTTACAAAACACTTTGACATATTTGGAATGGAAAGAATTTTGTTCAAAATCAAAGCCAGTAACCACATGTAAACTCTTATTTTCAGGGTTCCATACAGTTCCAAAACAAAGAAATGGGGAAATTCAGCCATTTAGTTCATACACTTATTTTAAAGTTGTGCTAGCACCCCAAAAGCATGGGCAACCAAAGGAAAAATAAACAAATGGGATTATATCAAACTAAAAAGCTTCTGCACAGCAAAAGAAACAATTAACAGAGCTAAAAGACAACCAACAGAGTGGGAGAAAATATATGCAAATTATACATCCGACAAAGGATTAATATCCAGAATATACAAGGAACTTAAACAACTTTACAAGAAAAAAACAAGCAACCCAATAAAAAAATGGGCAAAAGAGCTAAGTAGGCAATTCTCTAAGGAAGATATACAAATGGCCAACAGTCATATGAAAAAATGCTCAACATCACTCAGCATCCGGGAAATGCAAATCAAAACCACACGCAGATACCATCTCACCCCAGTTAGGATGGCTAAAATCCAAAAGACTTTGAACGATAAATGCTGGCAAGGTTGCGGAGAAAAAGGAACTCTCATACATTGTTGGTGGGAATGCAAAATGGTGCAACCCCTATGGAAAATGGTTTGGAGGTTCCTCAAACAGCTGAAGATAAATCTA